TATGAGGATACCCAAAGCGGCACGGGCCGAATCCAGCCCACATGGTGAGTAATGGGCTCGGTAATTGACTTGGACCCGAACCTAGTGAGCATAAGATAGGCCCGTTGGTGAGAGAACTAGCAGAAGATACATTGGGAATAACAAAGCCCATAGTCAAAGAAGTCCATAGAGAAGCCCATCGCAAGGAAATATTTGAGTAGTCTATAAATAGTAGGAGAGCAAAGAGAAATGGGGAGAAAAATTCTTGAAGTGTAATGAAACTCTGTCGAAATGAGAATAGAAATTTCTTGCGTCTTTAATGGCGCCGTCCATGGGAAGTTGATCATGAGTGATTGAAGAGGAAGGAGCTTGATCTCTGACAACTAGATCAGGATCGGCGAAATTGTTGTTCATCTTGCCAAATTCCGGTTCTGGTTGATTTTGAAGAGATTAGCGTTCGATCTACGCAGCTTTGATCTGTGCCTGCTCAATTGATCTATGTGGTTGAGTTTTGTTTGCCAGAGCTAGATCTAACAAGCTCACGGTGGAAGAAGTTTGGATTTGGTCTAGTAAGGTCAGAATTCAGCCAATTCAAGTCTAGATCTAGTGTGAGCGCATTCGCGAAACTCAGATCTGATCAGAAAGTTGTGGTTGATGACTTTGCTCCGATCCGAAATGATGATTGGAGGTGAGAGCTCGAATCCATTGGATAATGGCCAGCAGTCGAAGTTCGATGAATTAATGAGTGTAATCGAAGCACTAAGGAAAGAGAATACAGAGTTGCGAGCTGGAATGGAGCGTCATGAGGCTCCTGCTGTTCCTAGGCCACTTCCAGAAGGAGAGGGAGTTGTGCCATCCAATGCAGCTCATCACGATGATCTAGAAAGAAAAAATCGTATGGATCCTTATCATGAGGAGGTTGTGCCAAACGATTTACCTCCAAATGTCCGTCCGGTGGAGGAGCGGGAAAGATCAATCCACTTGGATCCGCATCGTGAACGAATCATGCGAGAAGAAGCCACCGCTTTTGATCCAACTCAGAGAAGGTAACGATGTGATGAAGTAATGGAGTTTGGCCATCAAAGAGCTCCATCATCGTGGCATGGGGAATTCATAGATGACAGATCGTTTGATCCACCCTACCGGCTTTCAATGGCGACGTATGATTACAAGAGTTCAGAAGGAAGATCTGCAGATCCGTGGATTCCACCTCAGTTTTCAAGGGAGAATGAGGCACTCCGTTCCTCCGCGAGAACGGTTGCATCACCGTTCACTAGAGCAATCCTGAACGCTCCGAATCCGAGGAAGTTTTCCATGCCAGTATTCATTCTGTTTGATGGAACGACCGACCCGATCGATCACATCTACCACATTCAGTTGAAAATGGCTTTGAATATGAATAATGATCCTTTGATGTGTAAGTGCTTCCCTACAAGCTTGTCAGGGCCAGCCCTCAACTGGTTCAAGAATCTGACTCAAGGCTCAATTGCCAGCTTCCAAGACTTGTGCAATAAGTTTATCAGCTAATATTATGGAAATAAACGCCCGGTTAAAGATGTGTCAAGCTTGTTTACAATGAAGCAGCACGAAGATGAACGACTCCAGGCCTTTCTCACTAGGTTTAACCTTATCAAGAGTATGGTTATGGAGTGTCATCCATCAACAGTAGTTCAAGCGTTCAAGTTAACAATGAACCAAAGGACACCGTTCCACACAAGTCTGGTGGTGAATACGCCGAAGACCATGGACGAGCTAAATGAAAGAGCCGACGGTTTCGTACATTTGGAAGAAGAAGAAGTAACCAATGCAAGGAAGACATCTATTATTTCCACAGAGGAGAATTCCAAAGCCAAAATCCGGCAAAAGTAAGCTCCACCGTAGCATCAGACCTCTTGGAAGACAGAGAAGAGGCCTCGAGAGGAGGAATTGATTACTCCACTCAAAGTCACTCTGGCAAGGCTGTACCAAGAAAACAAAGATAAGTTTCGTCCCCCCTTACCAATCAGACAACCTCTCGAACAGAGAGATCGCTCTAAACATTGTGCTTTTCATAGTGATTTTGTTCATCAGACTAATGAATGCAGGAACTTAAGAAGGCAAGTTGACGAGTGTATTTTTATGGATTATGTCGTTGTTTTTCTACACTTCATGCAAAAATAAGAAAAACCTGCAAAAACTAAATTAAAGATAGTATAGAATAAGCAGGGTCGAACCATACAAGATTTAAACTCATTAATCAAAATTAAAACCAAAATTTGAAGAAGAATAACTTTAAAACAATTTAATAATTTTTTCTTTTGAACTAAAAATAAAATAAATAATTAAGACAAATAAATTATGATCAAATAATAAGAAAAGTCTCAAGGAAAGAATCCACCACCACAGCTTACTATAAATAAATTTGTATATTTCTTTTATGTAAATTTTTCAATTATAAACAAATCACTTCACCAGTCCAATTACAACTTAGAAAGATGAAGGAAAATAATAGCGTGAAATAACAATTGTTTGAGAACATATTTTACTTAATCTGATATATCTTTGGTAAATAGAAATAGGCATTATCCGAATTACCATTAATTGGCAAACACGAAGAATCCTTTTCCTAATTTTTTTTATCAAAATAAGAACACAGAATAAAAGAGTAAAAATAATGCAAGAAAAAATTTCATAAAAGAATTAAACTAAATTTACTTATATTTCAACCATTGTGGCTTCATCACTCCCTTGAGAAGGGGGTGTTTAAGCTAGCATAATAAGAAAACAAAATAAAGAAATAAAAATAATTTTCATAACAAATATTATAAGAAATAAACTGAAGATAAAAATTCTCTCTAACTTTTATTATTTTATCCCACTAACGATGTACATCAACCTCCTCTACATATGTCTCTATTTATAGAGTTTATAATGGAACGATCGGGAGGAGAAAATTCTAATTACAGAAGTGAAAATAAAAATAAAATAAAATCTTCCTAAAATCTTGCTACTTCCGAATTTGGTCTGATCTTTGATTTAACGTGTTTTCCAATCTGTCTTGATATATTTTCCAATTTGGCTTGATCTTTGCTGATTTAATGAAAAAGGCAATTTCTTAACTTGACTTTAATTGATCGTATAATCCCACATTTCTGCTATTTTTGTTTCTTTTCTTCTTATTCCGAAATCAGCCCCTATAAAACATAAAAAGCAGGGATAAGAATAGTTATCTAATAAAAAATATTAATTAATCATTTATTATAAAGTATAAAATAACAAGTTTTGTGCACTTATCAAATTACCCCCAAACAAGCTTTTGCTAGTCCTCTAGCAATTAAAGGCAAAAAGAGATAAGTTTACAAAATTGTTACTTTAATTGACTCCTGACTAAAAATATGCCACTTTCGCAGGCTACTTTCGATTGCATTTACCATATGCAATAAGGCCTTAAACCCCCAGGTTACTCTAGTGGACGAGCTATAACCTCGTGAGAGTTTTCTGAGATGATACCCACAAACATCCAAAATTATGCACACTTTGCACTTAGCTCAATTACTTTCATGGAATCGGAATCTATTGCATACACATCATCATCAAGTTCGCTATTATGTCAAGTGTAAGAAAGATTAATATTCTTTAGCAATCCCAAACCTCTAATTACATGCAATAATACTATGGTCCCCACACAAAGTTCAATTCAACATATTTCCAATAACAATCAATCCCTAGTTTCCTTTTGAAGTGAACTAGCATCCAATTATATGTTTTACCCTTTTGTCCTTATATTACACATCACAATAGCTTCAAATCATTAATATTCCCATCCAAGTTAGAATACCCAAGGCATGAACTCATGGCTTTACTTATGCATGTGAATCTTTCATCTTTCTTTCTTCCATCATCATCTTTTTCTTTTCTTTTCTTTTTCTTTTTCTTTTTCTTCTTCTTCTTCTTTTTATTTTTTATTTTTTATTTTTTTATTTTTATTTTTTTGAAGACAGCAAGCTGTGCAATGTTTAAGTCCCTTAAGCTTTCTAGATGACCCATGTAACGAGCTTTAGGCTAATGACTCCCAACCAAACGGTTTTAGGGCATTAGGTGTAAAGACACCCCAAAGAGCTTATTAACTCAAGTCAACTAGGCTTCGAACCTAAACCAACACTTTCATTTTTTCCTGACCCTCCACTTTTTGACGCGAACACTCACTACTTACTGAGGCAAGAAGCCCGGTTACTTCGTGAAAGGTATTAACTAATCATGCATATTTCTCTATCATCATGCCAATGACATCTACTTTTCAAGGTCTACTAACTTGTATCCAACACATGTAATATATCACATAAGGTTAGGCCTATACCCCACAAAAAGATACTAGTGTGCATCTGTGAGAAGTGAAGTACGTTAGAGACTAATTATCATTAATAATAGTCAAACTGGACAATGATGTGGACCACATATACTAAAACATGAATTAAATATTCAAAACTGCTCTAAAATACCAATTCCCAGTCATACATGAACAATACTTCACCCAAATTTGACATAACATGCAATTCAACTTATAATTTCCATCGAAGCAAGATCATTGCCCCATCCCCAAACAAAAGACAACACTGTCCCTATTGTTGGAACCAAAGAATATAGAAATTAAATGGACAAGTATAGGTGGAGATATATAGAGAAATATTGGAACATATTACCTCACTTGGTTCGATGTGGAGTACAATTTCTGCAAAAGAGGTTATGGAAAACAATCGAAAACCATATCAGATAAATATAGCACCCCCAAACAAAATATAACCATATTCAAATACTAAATAGTTACGGAGCTAACAAGTAGGATACAACCGGTTAAGACTCAAAAATTAATCCAAGGTAACTGAATAGACACAACCGGTTGGGTTGCCTCCCAGGAGCGCTAAATTTAATGTCTTCAGCCAGACACAATGGGGGAAGTTCCCCCAAAAGAGATTAGTTCGAATAAACCGGATTGATGAGGAAAATGTCCTCAGTGACATGAGCCTCAAACTCAAGGAAAGGTTTTAAATGATGAGCATTGACTTTAAACAGCTTTCCAGTTTTGGGATCTTGTACCTCAATGGCACCATGAGTACATAATATGGACCAGACCATCGTGACCTCAACTTCCCATGAAACAATGCAAGACGGGAGTTATACAAAAGAACCTTTTGGCCTTGGAAAAACTCCTTTCTTAAAATTTGTTTGTCATGTTCCAATTTAGTCTTAGCTTTATAAATCCTCGAACTCTCATAGGCATCATTTCTAAGTTCTTCCAACTCATTAAGTTGAAGTGTCCTACGCTCACCTGTTTGATCATAATCAAAGTTCATGGCCTTGATGGCCCAATAAGCACGATGTTCCAGTTTGACAGGCAAGTGACAGGCTTTGCCATAGACCAATCGGTATGGAGACATTCCTATAGGGGTCTTATAAGCAGTACGATAGGCCCATAAAGCATCATGGAGACGGAGACTCTAGTCCTTTCTTGTGGGTTTAACCGTTTTCTCTAAGATATGCTTGATCTCCCTATTGAATACTTCAGCCTGACCATTGGTTTGTGGGTGGTAAGATAGGGCTACCTTATGGGTGATCCCATATTTGGACATTAGTCTAGCAAAGACTTTGTTGTAGAAATGTGAACCATAGTCACTGATTATGGCTTAAGGTGTACCGAAGCGAGACAAAATGAAGTCTTTCAAGAATTTCACCACAACCCTATGGTCTGCTGTCTTTGTGGCTAAGGCTTCTACCCATTTGGACACATAATCAACTACCAGAAGGATGTAGGTATACCCATATGAAGAGATAAAGGGTCCCATGAGATAGAGCAGTAACAACCCCCTTTATGGTCGATCTTTAATGCTTATGCTTCTCACGGCAACTCCCACTGAGAATATAAATAAAACACCAATCAATAAGCAACAAATGAAGAACAAGGCACTGTGATTTTGTATAAGGCAGTTAGATTGTGGAATTGCTTATTTATTTATTTATTTATTTTTATCAAAGGTCAACCCCAGAAGGAGAAAGAAAAGTAAAAGAAAATTAAGGAAAAGAAAAAAATAAATAAAAATAAAAATAAAAATAAAAAATCAAATTACACTAAACTGTTGAACGGATCAATAAATGAAGCAATATATATATATATATATATATATATATATATATATATTAACTGCTACTCCGACAGAGAAGATGATGGAACATAAAGAAAAATAAAATAAAATTATAGAAAAGAAGATAGAACAAAAAGAAAAGTAAAAGAAAAATAAAATAAAAAAGTAAAAAGATTAGACTGATTGTGGAAGGAGAGAACTACGAGAATTTTTTTTTTTTTTCCAAAGGCCTACCAACCGAAAAGAATAAAAATAAGAATTAAAAAGAAGGAAAGGGAGCTAGGGATAGAAAGTTTGGGTGGGTTTCCAAAAATTTCAGTTTTGAATTTTTCTGCGAATTCTCAATCTTCATATGGCAATGGTGCCATTTGACGAATAAAATAGTGGTAAGTATTCCCGCCTGTCACGCGGGTGACCCGGGTTCGATCCCCGGCAACGGCGCCATTTGACGAGTGTATTTTTATGGATTATGTCGTTGTTTTTCTACACTTCGTGCAAAAATAAGAAAAACCTGCAAAAACTAAATTAAAGATAGTATAGAATAAGCAGGGTCGAACCATATAAGATTTAAACTCGTTAATCAAAATTAAAACCAAAATTTGAAGAAGAATAACTTTAAAATAATTTAATAATTTTTTCTTTTGAACTAAAAATAAAATAAATAATTAAGACAAATAAATTATGATCAAATAATAAGAAAAGTCTCAAGGAAAGAATCCACCACCATAGCTTACTATAAATAAATTTGTATATTTCTTTTAGATAAATTTTCCTATTATAAACAAATCACTTCATCAGTCCAATTACAACTTGGAAAGATGAAGGAAAATAATAGCGTGAAATAACAATTGCTTGAGAACATATTTTACTTAATTTGATATATCTTTGGTAAATAGAAATAGGCATTATCCGAATTACCATTAATTGGCAAACACGAAGAATCCTTTTCCTAATTTTTTTTATTAAAATAAGAACACAGAATAGAAGAGTAAAAATAATGCAAGAAAAAATTTCATAAAAGAATTAAACTAAATTTACTTATATTTTAGCCATGGTGGCTTCGTCACTCCCTTGAGAAGGGGGTGTTTAAGCTAGCATAATAAGAAAACAAAGTAAAGAAATAAAAATAATTTTCATAACAAAAATTATAAGAAATAAACAGAAGGCAAAAATTCTCTCTAACTTTTATTATTTTATCCCACTAACGATGTACATCAACCTCCTCTACATATGTCTATATTTATAGAGTTTAGAATGGAACGATCGGGAGGAGAAAATTCTAATTACAGAAGTGAAAATAAAAATAAAATAAAATCTTCCTAAAATCTTGCTGTTCCTAATTTGATCTGATCTTTGACTTAACGTGTTTTCCAATCTGTCTTGATATATTTTCCAATTTGGCTTGATCTTTACTGATTTAATGAAATAGGCAATTTCTTAAGTTGACTTTAATTGATCGTATAATCCCACCATTCTGCTATTTTTGTTTCTTTTCTTCTTATTCTGAAATCAGCCCCTATAAAACATAAAAAGCTGTGATAAGAACAGTTATCTAATAAAAAATATTAATTAATCATTTATTATAAAGTATAAAATAACAAGTTTTGTGCACTTATCACAAGTGGAGATGCGGATCGCAAGGGGAGAATTTGCTGGATATGTTCAAGGGCCAGCACAGAAGCAGAATCGCCCAGCTGAGCAAGTCAAGAGAAGTCAAAAGCCTAATCACCATAACGCTCAGCCCGTTTGGATAATAAATGCAATTCATGGGTGACCTAAAAAGACAACAGAATCTAAAGAATTGCTCCCAACGCGTCTCCGCCAAGCGTAGATGAAGAGGCGAATAGGCAGTGTCAACACTTTGCACCAACAGAGCGCATCAACGCAGATAAGGTTTGACAAAACAGACCTGCTGCAAGTTCAGATTCCTCATGAAGATCCTTTGGTTGTTAGTTTGACAGTGACGGAATGCCTAGTACGAAGGGTGCTAATTGATCGAGGGAGTAGTGCGAATGTCATGACTTGGGTCACCTTCGATCGGCTAAAAATCAAGTCAGAGGCACTTAAATGTACTGGGAATCCATTGTTGGGATTCGATGGAAAACGAGTCAAACTGATCGGTACAGTTGAATTATTTGTCCGAGCTGCCGAGAGGGAACTTGTCGAAAGTTTTGTGGTAGTGGAGATCCATCCATCCTACAATCTGCTGATGGGAAGAGGGTGGATTCATAGGGTCCAGGGAGTCCCATCGACCTTGCACCAGGTGATGAGATGTTTGAGTCCCGACGAAAATAAGGTGATAGATATCCATGGGGACCAGGTTACAGCAAATGAGTGTTACTCGGTGACTCTGAAAGCCGCAGGGAAGGGAAAAGCTCTCATTCGATCTAATAGCTCACCATAGCAATTACAAAAACCTCCCCCTAGCACGAAAAGGGAGGAGGAGACTCCAGTATTGATTGAGGAACCTCTAGTTGATGTTCAAATTGATCTTTTAAGGCCAGACCAAACCACAAAAATAGGTTCAGGGCTTGACAAGGAAGAAAGACGCCAATTGGTTGATTTCCTTTCCCAAAATGCAGATGTGTTTGCCTGGAGCCATTCGGACATGCCAGGGATCTACCCTTCTGTCTCTTGCCATTCCCTTCGTGTAGATCCGAACGTCAAACCTGTTTGGCAGAGGCAATGAAGGTTCGCCCCAGAACACAATCAGATCATTGCGGATGAAGTTAATAGATTGCTAGAAGCTAGGTTCATCCGAGAGGTTCAGTACCCGTTCTGGCTGTCGAACGTGGTTGTAGTGCAAAAGAAGAACGGAAAATGGAGGGTTTGCATTGACTTCACCAATTTGAATAAAGCTTGTCCGAAGGATAGTTTTCCTCTTCCAAAGATTGATCAAATGGTAGATGCTACAACTGGCTATGAACGATTAACCTTTTTGGATGCCTATTTAGGTTACAATCAAATCCCAATGGATCCGATCGATGAGGAAAAAACCTCCTTTGTCACTGAGCGAGGGACCTACTGCTACAAGGTCATGTAATTCGGACTGAAGAATGTTGGAGCTACGTATCAAAGATTGGTCAGCAAAATTTTCAAGAATCAAATGGGCAAGATTGTCGAAGCTTACATCGATGAGATGGTAGTCAAGAGAAAACAGAAGGACCATCATTTGTAACATTTACAGGAGGTGTTCGACGTACTGAGAAGGTATGGAATGAGGTTAAACCCAACCAAATGTTTTTTCGGTGTGGGATCTGGGCAATTCCTTGGCCATGTGGTCAACAACAGGGGGATTGAAGTTAGCCCAGCCCAAGCGAAGCTTTACTCAAAAATGCAGAACCAAACATTGTTAAGGAAGTCCAAGCTCTCACCGGACGCATAGCGGCACTAAGTCGATTCATCTCTAAGTTATTAGACCAATGCAAGCCATTCTTTGATATAATAAGAAGTCATGGAAAATAATCCTAGGGGGATGAGCAGAGGCAAGCACTGACAAAGTTGAAAGAGTATATGCGAAACCCACCCTGACTGCCCCGAAGCCAGGTGAGAAGCTTTTCTTGTATCTTGGAGTTTCCAACATTGTAACTAGTGGTGTTCTGATACGATCTGAGGAAGGAAAGTAGTTCCCAGTCTTCTATGTCAATAAGACACTGACTGAGTCAGAGAGAAGATATTCAAAGGCCGAACGAGTAATCTTGTCCCTGGTAAATGCAAAGAGGAAACTCAGGCATTACTTCGAGTCGCATCCTATAGTCGTTCTGACCACATTTCCTATAAGGGTGATCCTGCATAAGCCTGATCTGTCCGGACGAATGACGTAATAGGTAATAAAGCTGAGTTTTTTTGACATAACGTATGAACCCTGAACCGCCATCAAAGGGCAAGCTGTTGCTGATTTCCTACTGGAATTTGATGTGGAAGAGCCAGAGGAAAACCTTGAAGATTCTTCATGGAAGCTTTTCGTTGATGGATCTTCGAATCAGATGGGGGAAGGAATTGGGGTCAAGCTGCAGACACCAGAAGGCACCACGCTGAGCCAAGCGATCAGACTTAAGTTCAGAGCGACCAATAATGAAGCAGAATATGAAGCACTACTGGATGGATTGAAGTTGGCCAAGGAACTAAAGGTCAAAAGCTTAATCGCTTTTAGTGATTCATAGCTGGTCGTTCGACAAGTAACTAGGGAGTATGGAACCAAAGAATGAACAATGGAAGCATATCATTCAGCCGTTATGCAAGAGGCTGAAAGTTTTGATCAAATTAAGTTCATCCAATTGCTGAGGTAGCGTAACGAAGACGTCGATCGGCTGGCATGCAGTTTATCGAGTTCTGGGAAAACACTGACAGGAGTGTCTCCAATTGGTGTGTTGTGCCAGCCAACTATCCTTGGAGAGTCATCAAGCTCGGATCCTTGGCAAGTGAATGTCATACTATATGAGCCAAGCTGGATCGATCCGATTATTACATACATTCGGGATGGTGTTTTGCCAGAGCAGAGGGATGAAGCAAGGAAGATTAGATCGAATGCTGCGAAGTATGCCATAGTGCACAACCAATTATACAGCAGATCTTACTTAAGGCCTTACTGGAAATGTGTAACCCCCACAGATTCTCGGCAGATACTATGAACTATCCACGAAGATGTGTGTGGTAATCATTCAGGGGGGAGGTCTTTAGCACACAAAGCGATGACACAGGGGTATTTTTGATCGAACATGTCACGAGATACGGAGGAATTCTCAAGAAGGTGCGATAAGTGCCAAAGGTTCGAATTGGCCTAAGGATTTTATCTAAAGGTTAATCTTATGTTTTGATGATTACAAACTATTAATGATGTTTAAGTACTAATGTTTCAATTGAGTGATATATAGTTGATCAACATTCAATCCTCAAATATGAGCTAGAAGATCCATTCCAACCATTCCAAAGCATTCCAAACATTCAAGCAATGGATTCAAGGAAGCCTCAAAGTTGCAAGAAATCAAAGAAAAACTTGGACTTCAAAGATCACACAAAGCATTTCAAAGAAAGAAAGAAAGTCTTCATCAAGCCTAAACGATCATAGTCAAAGAATGAAGAAAAAGGTAAATAGGATGGTAAGAGCTTAAGATTCAATGTCAAAGTCTTTATGAATTCATTTGAAACTCATCTCTATAGGACCATGCATATCATACATCATTTATATGCTCCTACATCATTAGCAATAGACTATGAACTTCAATACATATATATATGACATATGAAGTCTTTGCTAAGAATAAGTTAGTTCAAGCTTGCATAAGCTTTCAAAGAACTCACAACTTAAGCTAGAAATGCTAAGACCAGGCACATTAATCATAACATTTATTTTGGTCTCTAAAAAGAAAAGGAAAAGGCATTGAATTAATTTTTCATCTTTAAAGCCTTTGTTGCCAAAATTTGGTAAATGACTCTAGGACACAATGCACTTGAAATTTATCATCTTCATATGTCCCTAGACTCTTAGAAATAGGCCTTGAACTAAATTGAACCATTCATAGGTGCTAGAAAGATGGATATCTCAAAAGAAGTAATTTTCAGCCTAAAAAATTTCAGACCAGCTTACACTAAAACTGCTATAACTATTTGTGTAGTTGGAATTTTTATGTAAGGCCAGTGGAATTGGAAATCTGACTTCGAGCGCTTGAGGTTAGACTCAAATTTCACCTAAATTGGATTTAAAATGACTGAGATATGAGCTTCACAAAAAACCTGATTCTGCTCTGGGAAAATTCTGACCAGGTTGTAATAAAATGGCCATAACCATTACTGTGGTTGGAATTTTTTAGCAAGGCTGGTGGCTTTAGAAAGTTGACTTCAAGGCAATAAATTTAGACTCAAATTTAACCTCATTTGGAGTTTCATGGATTGAGTTATGTCCATTTGAAGTCATGCACTTTTTTTGTCCAATCCAATTTAGCAGCAGCCTTCATGAAGCAAGAGCCGCCTTTATAAGAAATAGAGCCAGCTCTTTCAAGGCCAATGGAGTAGGCTCTATGAAAAATTAGAGAAGGCTCAAAGAACAGAGAAGGTTCAATGAAAAATTAGAGAAGGCTCAATCAAAGAATGGAGAAGGCTCAATGAATTAGAGACACCTCCATGAAAATGGAGAAGGCTCCAAGAAAATTGAGCAGGCTCTCAAAGAATAGAGCCGGCTCTGTAAAAGTCTCTCTCAACTCCAGTAGCTAGTTTTCAACGAAAAATGAAGTTTCCAACCAAAGAGCAGGCTCTCAGAGGCTGGGAGCCGTTTCCATGCAATGGAGAGGTGGCTCTCAAGGCTAAGGAGCCACCTCCTCTTGTTTACAAAAGCCAGCTCCTTCTAGGGTTTTGAACTGCAACGGAAACATTTTCATTCATTGCTCCCCAACTACTTCTAACAGCTATATTGAGCTTTGAAATTCTATAAATACAGAGGGGTTGTTTGCTGAATAAGTTGACCATTTTTTAGAGACATTAAATTGCATCAAAGAGAGCTTTTGTTCTCACATCTTCTCCCCATCTCTCTCATTCACTCATATACTACTGGAGAGAACATTCAAGAACATTCATTCAAGTGCATCAAAGAGAGCTTTTGGCTCTACCATTATACAGAGCTTTTGTTCTGGTTATACTCACTCATAGAGCCTCTGTTCAGACATCGATATTTATCTCATATACAAGCTTCCATAGCTGAATCAGAGTGAACTTCAAAGAGCATTTCGTAAGCCTTTGTTGAACTTTTATTCTAGTATTTTATTAGAGGTTTTGTTCTGCATTTTCCTCATCATCTCTCATATATTTCATACTTAGAGTTTGAGCTTCACTTGATTTCATATATACTCTATTGTGAGGCTTGATTTGTATCAGTTCTTGAGAGGATTTCTTGTACTACAAATTCTATCTACAAATCTGCTGTAAGCCTAAAAGGAAGAGTTCGCTTAGTAAAGAAATTGTAAGGGCTGGTGTGGCCTATGTAAAACTAAGAGATGTGGTCTCTTAGCAAGGATACTGTAAAGGGTTGGTGTGACCCAAAAGGAAGCCTAGGAGAAGGGTGTTCTCATAGCAAGAAAGAGAAGCAAGGTCTTACTTCAATTGAAGGTTTGCTCTCCACCATTAAGGAGAACCTCTAAGGAATTTGGGAAGTCTCAAGAGGGATCTTGAGCCGAGGAGTAGGAGTTTCCGAACCTCGCAAAAGTTGCCGTGTTATTGTTTGCAATTTCTCTTCCCTTATCTCTTTTACAATTTTGCCTAATTGATTACTTTCATATCTTGTTTATTGCATAATTGGTTATACTGTTGATTAGAAATTGTATTTCTATAATTTGCGAAAATTGGCCATTGACTCTATTCACCCCCCTCTAGAGTCAATTCTTGGGTAACAATTGGTATCAGAGCCTAAACTCT